GTGTGCTTGCTAAAGGAGATAATTGCAGAAGGCAGGCATCTGAATTCTAATGCTTAAAAGAAGAAGCAGAAAGCCTGGGAGCAGGAAGCCTTGGTGATGGTATCCAAACACCTTAGTTGTATATGCCCCAGGAATAATCAATTCACACTGTTTAGAAGTTCTTAGGAAAAAGAATCAATTGGGGAAGCTATAATATAAATATAAAGCTATAATATAATATAAAGCATGCATGAAATTCATAGCAGAAAACAGCTGGTATATTCAAAAAGCCAAATAACACCAATACTCCTGAGCCTTGGCTTCCTCTGGAGAAATCCATGACTTTTCCAGGTGATAGCTTTGCCATAGTCAGCTGAATCCCTTCTTCATATTTCTACATCCTGTCGCACAGTAGAAAGGCTGGGGTCTAAATAATCTTTTCAGGACTTGGTTAGGACTTCCCAGAACAATAGAGGTGGACCAGGCCAGTCTTGGGAATGCAGTCGGCACTTAGGAGCCACTTCCAGATCTTTCCTTAGGAATTCCTGAGAGGATCCCTGGCTGCATGACTCACAGAGGCTATGAAATTAAGGAGGCATGAGGCCAAGGGAAAAGGGTGAGTTCCTGAGACTGTGTTCACCGTAATCGTTTTGATGATATAAACCTCTCCAAGTACTGATGAATGAATGTTCCACTCAATGGACTTTCAGTGAGCTTCCTGCTTTCCACTGCCATCCAGGATAGTAATGACTGAGGACTCCAGTGTACATGAGACATAATCTTCCATGAAATAGGAATTTTCTTATTTACTTCTATGTATACACTAAGTAATAATTTCCTGTACATCTGAGTATCTATTAGGAATACATGAAGAAGTCCGGTACTAACCAGGAGTGTGGCACATGAATTTAACCCCAGCACTCGAGAGGCAGAGGCAGGAAGATCTCTGTGAGTTCAAGACCAGCCTGATTCCAGGACATCCAGGGTGACATAGTGAGACCCTATCTCAAAAACAAAACAAACAAAAAGTCTAATACTAAACCTCTGTTATTGGTCATGGTCAAAGAAGAAACTAAGCAAAGGAAATTAGATTCAGGGATCTCATTCTGAAAAGAAAAAGCAGAGATATAGAAATGATAGGATAAAAGGATAGATTACTGAATCTACCTTCAAACTAAAAAAACAACTACTAGTCTCAAATATTTTATTTTTGTATATTGATACAAATCCAAGGTTATTTTTGTTACACTGTATATATGTTTCTA